AATTGTTGCGGTTCTTCACATGGTTTGGCTTAACTAATGAAGTTTAGTCTGACCAGGGGTCAAGTTTTATGTCCAAAGTTTTCAAGCAGTCCATCAGAGAACTTAGTATTGAGCAGATCACTTCCGCTTCCTACCATCTTCAGATTCAAGGTGCCTTATAAAACTTAAAATTAAGGTTACCTAATTCTGTACATATTGTGATAAAAGCTTGCTCTTTTTGCTGTTTTTTCACCCATGAGGTGAGAGGATCAATATAGTTACTAAGAGAAGAGTGGCTTGATTTAGATGAGAATGTTGGACTCTTATCTAATGTTAGTGATTTAAAGGAAAAGCTTAAACCCTTGATTCCAGGCACTGCTGTAACTGTCATGACATAATAGCCTATGTTGTGTATATGCATCATGACTAGCAACGGGTGGGCCGACTGTACACCCTAGACCTTGCCACAAATCTATACTGTTACATAATCGGCCGTATTCACAAACGATGCGAAGACCTTATACGACGACCTTTTACAAACGTCGTATAAGCTCGATGGTGCGTATCCAAACACTGCGAAGGGCGGGAGTTTGCGACGGCGATCGCATCATTTACCAGGCGTACCAACATTCCGATTGCTGCGATGGCGCGCAAGGTTGGTATGCCGCGCATCAGCTGTTCAACGTAAACAAGCATGGACGCTAAGAAGTCAGACCGTGCCATTCCTCTCTCTGAAAGGCAACAGCTTTGCCTGGTGAGTCTCGTCACCGAGAGAGCTGACGTGGTTCAGTGCAAGAGCCAGGACCCCAAGCTTCTGAATAGAAAAAAAAAGATTGGGATGAAATTGCTGCTGAGTTTCGTGCAAGAAACCCAGGATGTGAGCCTCGTGGAGCACAGCAGCTCAAGCGGTCATGGGACCACATTAAACGGAGGTAAGTTGTATTTACGACTGTTTATTTTTTAAAAATCAACACATTGCAACATATTTTAAATATAGGGGAGAATGTGTCATCCTGGGGTTGCAAAGGAAAGAATGTGGAATGTTAAATGCATTGCTATAACTGAAATATGTTTGTAAATCAGATAAGTTCAAAGGATATGTTGAATCTGGCATGATTATTATTCATTCTCTGAGTAAATGGTGTATGTTTATTTAAAACAAATAATAATAATGAAAAACCCAGGCCAATTAAGGAGAATTGATGTGATCGGTCTAAATAGTTTTGGAATAGGCAACGAGTCCGAGGAAATTAGGCGTCATTTTGATAAGAATTCCATAACAATACTTTTAGGAGGGTTAATCATATATCCCGAAACTGTCAACGAAAAAAAATCTGCTTGGTAACTATCTTCTAAATTATGAAACCACCCCTATTCGTGCATTCTTGTCGTGAACAGCTAAATTATATAAGTTAATATTAAAGATGGGAGTTAAAAGAAATTATAAATTGGATTTACCTTTCTCTGAGCTCAAATATAAATTGAATTGGTGGTAGTCAGACAAAGAAATAAACAAATGAATAAATAGCATTGTGTCAATCAAATGAACTTGTATTTCATGCCATAAGAGCCATCTAACCATTTATGTCATACGAACATATTTGTCATTATTTCATTCGCAGTAGCTATGAAAAAGATCTAAGAAGGTTATGTAATGGGAAACATGTGTGTCATTATTAAATATTGTTAGTTTTGCACAATTTTATTACGCAGATGACAGCTGGCATCCATCCCCCTACACTGACAGTTTTCAGTTTTAGGCTAATAATGTTTTTCCTAATATTTTGGCACTTACTATTATTTGACTAATAGCCATTCTAATGCACGATTATGAATTATATATAACAACTGTGTTTTAAATTACATATCATAATTAGCTCTCCTTTCCATTTTTTGGGTCAAAATTTGGAGTATGTTTCATTATTTTGACATTTGTTATATTGCGGGGTCTGACAGCACTGTTTACCTTTTTCCTCAATATTTGCTTATTCAGCTCTATCTTGGCTGTATATATAATATGAATCTGCCAAGAATGTATCCCAGGCTATTTTTACACCCAATAATTTTGAAAATAGTTGTAAATGCAACTTTCACTATTAGGAGAAACATTTTTTTAAAATTTGAATCCTTTGCTTTACCAGATATTTACCACAAATATTGTTTGTTCTGTTTATCATGTTTGCATGTGTTGTATTTTACATTAAACATCTATGCCCAGGCTTTGCGTACCTTTAACAATGCAATGATTTATAAGTTAGATGTATGTGTTAAGTAATGAAATATTTTCTCTGAAAAGCAACTAACTGTAAGTATGGTTTTCTGTACTTTGAGTTGACTTTTGAAAACTGTAACCTGCATTAATCTACAGAGTGAAACAGGAGCAGGCAAAGCAGAAGAGAAGAAGTGCCACTGGTGGAGGTCCACCACTAAGTCCACCAAGCATGACTGAGGCAATGTCTGCTGCTGCCTTAGGGGGGCGCACAGTGGTCCCAATGCTCGAAAAGATGGCCAACACCTTGACTTGCAAATTTAGTTTTAAATTTGCTTTATCAAAAGAACAATCAATGCTTACTTTAGTGGCAACCCTACAAATTTAGAATTATTTATATTTCGGCAGTTATACAACGAAAAAGGATTTCTCCCCGAAATTGAAATCGCAATATTTTCCTTAAAAAACGCCCTATAACCATGAAATCAGATTATGAGAAAGATGCATTGATAGAGATTTGATTTTTAAAAAACTAATGATGTATCTTGAATATTGTAATTTTAAAAGAGGACTTTATATAAATGCAATTCATTTACAAATAAGAAAATATAAGATACTGCCGCCTTCACGAAAGTAGAGATAAATATTCTAATAACAATGTCCAATTTGAATCAAATCCCCCGAAGTCCACCAAAAGTAGCAATAACTATTATTGTAGGAGATTTGTGCTCGTTTTGACTATCGGCTCTTTCGTAATGCGCGCGCGCAATTCATAGAAAATGGGAATGACCTCCGTTTTCTATACAGCTCCAGACAACAAAACGCTTTCTCAGAGGTAATTACGGATTCCTGATTTTTTGACATATATACGTTAGGGATAGAGGAATACTGTGTTGAACATAACTATTAGTGTATAGCTGATCCCTAGTGATGCGTGATTAAATACTTAGTACAAAAAGTATGTAAAATGTAATATATAGACCCCACCGCGACGTATTTTGAATTATTTATAATAGTTACCCCTATCAAAACATGGAAAATTTTAAGATTTTACGAGGAAACTATGATATTTAACTTTGTCATTATTTGGATGTTTTTAATTTCATTGCAGATGGGTCTTACAAGAAAAGCAGTAATTGACAGTTACATTTCATCAAAAACAGTTCATTCATTTGAACATGTTTTATCCATCCAAAAAGTTAATAACATCATGAAAACAATGAAAAAAGTAAATATTGCAGCTTTCAAGTCCGATTTTAATAAGCGATGGAAGAAAGCTAACTATTGTAAAAGCAGATTTGAAAAGAAAAATAGTTTGTGGATGAGTAAGGAACTAAAATTAGACTGTGAAATTGATTTCGAGTGTGATAGACCTGGTCATTCAATTGAAACAAACAGTGACAAAGAAAGAATGCCAAGAACAGAAAATGATAGAAAATTTAACTTAGAACAAAGTGATAGAAGTAAAAGGAGGAAAACTGAAGAAATCAGAAAGGCCCACACAGCTGAACAGCTAGCATATGCCACACAGATGAAATTACGTGAGGCAGGGAAAATTCATGCTGCAAAATTGCAGAGAAGCATCACTGTGACTGATTTTATATACATCTCCCGCTGCAGAATCTTCTAGATCACACGACCTTACGCCTGCTGCACGCACAAACACAAGCAGTTGGTACACTGAGGGAATCACTAGCTGATAAGCGTATGACACTAGAAATAATAATAAAGTATGGCTTCGATGGCAGTGGAAGTCACTCGCTCTATGCCATGAAGGTTAATGAAATGAGTTCAGAGGTGGCAGAAACTCAAATGTTTGCCTCATTCATATGCCCAATTAGGGTTATATGTAAAGAGACTAAGGCCATATTATGGCAAAACCCTGTGCCATCTTCTCTGTTTATTGCCGTCCCTTCGCATAAAATTCGCAAAGGAAACAAAAGAGCTCATAAGATCAGAGCATAATTCCATCGAGAGTGAGATTCAAGACCTGACACCTACTATTGAGGGAGATATAACAGTACATCATACATTGATTCCTACTATGGTAGATGGCAAAGTTTGCCAAGCGCTTTCAAATACGCCATCTTCATCTAGTTGTTTTCTGTGTCAACCTGTTACAAAGCCATCCCAAATGAATAAATTAAATGAAATTAAAGGTAAGGAAGTGTCGAGAGAGTATCTCAAATACAGCATATCACCTCTTCACTTACTAATAAATACCATGGAATGTGTATTACACATAGCCTATCGATTGGACTTAAAAGTGTGGAGTGTTAAAGGAGAGTAAATCCATCATGCTCAAGGAAAAAGAACGTATTCAGTCCGCATTTAAAAAAGAAGTTGGGATAATGTTGACTTTCCATCCCAAGGTAGTGGGAACACAAACAACGGAAATGCAGCACGAAGGTTCTTTTCTGATCCCGTCAAAGTTCACTTATAACAGGTGTAGATGAAGAACTTATCAGCGTTTTTCTGTTTTGCTTTTTACTCTGAACTCAGGCTACAACATCAACGCAAAACATACGAGGTATATGCTGGGGAAACAGCAAAACGATATATAGACCTATATAACTGGTATTACATGCCAGTTTCAGTGCAAAAGATGCTTATGCATGGGTCGCATATCATTGAGGCATTATGCATACCAATAGGGCACGCTTCGGAAGAAGGCTTAAGGGGGTTTTACGCGGTCAAACATGTTGGCCAACACGCTCATCAAACCTCCAACACAACATGTTTGAAGAGTGTTTACACGTTGAAACCAAACTGACAGACAACCTCAGTCGGTGCCAAAAGGAGAAGGAGCAACATGTCACTTACCACAGACGAGGTGATGGCAGTCGGGATAGTGATTGCCCTCAACGAAAAGAAAAGGAAGCGTTCAAAGTGGACAAAGGACTGGTTGCTGAAAAGGGACCAAATTTCACATACCAACTTAATGAAAGAGCTGAAATTAGACCCAGATGAATGGCGCAATTATATGCGCATGGATGAATCAACATATTTAGAACTTTTGAATATGGTCACTCCATTCATTACATGTAAAGACACCGTAATGAGGAAGTCCATTAGCCCTCATGAACGGCTGATCGCAACACTGCGTTTCTTAGCAACAGGCCGATCTCTGCAAGACTTGAGATTTTCAGCTGTAATGGGAACTAGCACCTTATCCAAGATTATACCAGAAACTTGTGTTGCCATCTACAAAGTACTCAAGAAGGATTATTTAAAGGTGGGTTATGATATGCAATAATGTGCATTTATTGAGGAAAATCAGTACATAGTAATAGTATGTGAAAAATACTGAAACCTTCTGTTGAAATGTCCTATGCTTTCTAACCACAGTGTCAAGCGAAAGGACAAAACCCAAATCAATCCAAAATTATAACCCTTTATATCTCACTCTTTGATTGCCAGACACATATGAAATTGTTACAAGGGCTGAAAATTGGCAAAATAGTGTGACATATTGGAATCACTATTAGAATTATCGCTTACATGAAAGGAACTTGACGACTGTGGTACTGGTGTTGCAAATGATTCATGTGAATGGTATGTGTTTGTTACAATTTTAGAATAGGCAGACAAATTCCCATTCTCTGCTTCAAAAAGCACATCATTTATCAGTTTCCTAGCACAGCCTGCTGTTTCTTGTCCAGGGAGTCGAGTGCTTGGCCTACGTACTTCCCAAATGTCTCATTAGGAGTATCATGTCTCTCAGATCTCTCTTCTAAGTTACGAGCGACCAGGTTTAGAATGTGATCTGCCTTCGTAGTGTTTCCCCTGCTCCGTTTCACTACAGGAGCATTGCTGCATGAAGGTATTTCATCATCAGCTGGTGGCTCAGCAACACTCTAGAAAGGAGAACACCTATAAATATAGTGCAAGTCTCTCTCTCTCTCTCTCTCTCTCTCTCTCTCTCTCTCTCTCTCTCTCTCTCTCTCTCTCTCTAATAGCCTTGTATCTTTTATCTGTTTCAGTTTCCGGCAACAGAAAAGGAGTGGAAGACTGTTGGAGAACAGTTCGAGTTTAGATGGAATTTTCCCCACTGTCTCGGTGCTGTTGATGGAAAGCATGTATGGATAACGCCGCCATCAGAATCAGGGTCTTATTATTGGAATTACAAAGGATACAACAGTCTTGTGTTAATGGCAGTTGTAAATGCGAACTACGAATTCATTATGGCAGACATTGGAACTAATGGTCGCGTATCAGATGGAGGAGTCATTGATAATACAGAATTTGGTAAGCGACTCAAAGATGAAAAGCTCTGCATCCCACATGAGTCAGTAACAGCTACTTCAAATTGTGTTTTGCCATATGTATTCGTGGGAGATGAGGCCTTTGCATTAAGGACAGATTTCTTGAAACCTTATTCTCAAAAGGACCTACATAGTGAGACGCGAGTATTCAACTACAGGCTGTCAAGGGCACGGAGAGTGGCAGAAAATGCCTTCGGCATTATGGCTTCCAGGTTTAGAATTTTCCACACTTGTATAAATCTCAAATTGACAAGTATTGACAAAGTTGTCATGGCATGTGTTGTGCTACATAACTATTTGCGGAAAGCATGCCCTTCAGACTATTCCCCAGAGGACTGCTTCCATAGGGAGGATAGAATGTGCAAAATGATTTTGCCAGGCTTAACTGCAGATCCTTATGTAGCAGGTTTGCAACACGGTCAGGGATCACGAAACTATCCTGAAATTGCAAAGGTAGTAAGAGATAGATTTAAGGATTACTTTGTGAATGCCGGTGCAGTAGCATGGCAAAAAGACTTCATATAAATCATGAAAATAGGAAAGGCTAGTCTACACCTTCAAACTCAAACTATACAGTCTGATTGGAATTGGCTTAAATAGTGTGCTGTAATTTTTTTTTTTCAAAATAAATGAATACAATGGTTATGATAAGTTTAATTGATTCATTATTCAAATGGCTGGCTCAAGTTTAGCCTTCAGATCCAGATTGACATGTTGGATTCTTAATGAAATGATGATTCATAATACAAAATTGTCTGAAACTTCAGACTAATATACCAGAGAAGTCAGGAGATACATTTTACAACCTACAGATTATATGAAAGCACCCATGAAACTGAATAAAGTCATCTATGCATAGCCAATAAAAAAAACGAATAAATAAACGGCCACTCTGGTTCTGAAGGTTACTTGTTATCCAGTTTTGGGCAAATCCTTGCAACTCACCTCTTCATTAACACATTCCATATTTGATGTACTCTCTCGTGGCATCTCTTGATCACATATGAACATCATGTCTTCAAAATACCAGAGAGTGGGCGTGTAGATGTTATCAGTTGCACTTCCAGACTTTTTAGAGCTCTCATGCTTTCGAAGTTCTCTTCTAAACGAACTACGGAGAGAATTTATTTTTTTCATCACATCATCCCGCGTACAATGTGGGTCAAGTTCTTGTAGCTTTCCATGCAGTTCATCTATACCCTTATTTCTTAAATTCCTGTTTGAGTATTCTTTTGATTTCACCTTCCACAAAGCCACATGCTTCCTGTATATATCAATGAAACCCACCATTACTTCCCTTTCCTTATCCTTAAGGGCACACGTGTCACTCATTTTGCAGCTGATACACTACGCCTGTCACTGAAGGAGATGTTTACAGATGTTACCTCGGCGAGATTTGAGTATGTATGACGGTTGAAGGCTGATGACCGTTCACACGTTCAAACATGGACATGCACCGAGCAAGCTCCGCCCACAAAAGTCAGGCCCCGTCAGACATCCGTCCAACACGTTGGTCAAACATGTTTACCCCTTTCACACGTTCAAACATTCTCTCAAACGTCGTGTTGTCAAGCGTGTTGGCCAACATGTTTGACCGTGTAAAACCCTCATAGAAGCTAGACATAAAGATTTGCGCTCTGCCAGATTACATCATACCTGCAAATCACCGAGGACTCGAGTAAACAATGATCTGATTCACTGGTTACTTGCAACATCCGACCCAGTGGTAGCTACTTCCCAGAAGCCAAGGTCTCTCAGAAAATATAATTCATTATCCCCAGACATTAGGTCGCTACTTGATGAGCCAAAGATTGAGGAGTACAGGCAGACAAGCACTCATTCAGACGATGACGATGAGCATGAAGGTAATGATGAGGAAGAGGACGATGACTTCATATATAATCTTTGACATGTTTTTTTTTTTTTTTTTTTTTTTTTTATTCTCGCAATGTTATGCTGTATGATTATTTCACTGTTAATGCCAATATACATTACTGTATAATGTACGTATTTTGATTTTAAACATTCTCTCGGAAATAGCTGATATTTCATGGTGTTCATTACTTAAGTTTTTTGTTTTTTTTGTTTCTGTTGTGTAAGCTTCAAAATCATTGTTTTGAGTGTAGGATACTGTACCCTGATAAACAGTATATATCAAGATGTATAAACTTCTGAATAATTTTTTCCCAGTGAAACTAGGGTTTCTATTATATCCTATATTTAGTATGCATCTACTGTTTAATGGAAATGGAGTAATAGTAATAATATAAAACGATGGAAGCAAAAAAGTATGTTTAAGAATCGCAAATCACGAGTGGCCATGAAATTGGCGCTTGGAACCACTGTGGGGCGTCGCGGCCGAGAACGAAGTTCGTTATTTATAATCGGATTTTCGCGAATTTTAAGTATGTTATACATATATTATGATTTGCACCACCAAGTTTGAAATTATTCGGATATTAAACAATGAAGTTATTAAAAAAAAAAAGGATTTTGAAAATCAAAAAATAAAATTGACCTCACTTATCCACTGACCGAACTTGTAAAAAAAAAAAAAAAAAAAAAAAAAAAAAAAAAAAAAAATCCGCATATACTCTATAGCAATACCTACATTATCAACGATTCGGATGTTGAAATTTCCTCTTAGTTTTGCAGAAATGAATATTTTTAAAATCTAAAAGTTAAAGATATTCCATGAAATATATGAAGTTTCATGACCTGAAAGTGAAATTTGAACCGTTGATAAAATCGCAAATTTATTCAGCTTTCAAATTCAAACCCCATTAGAATCGCCCAAGTACTTATGAATTATAAAGAATATTGCCAAAGGTGTAGTTTTGAGATATTGGGTTTTGAAGTTGAGGATACCTTTCCCTGCATTTATTTTATTTATTTATTTATTTTTTTCGAATTCTGATCTTTGCGTCAATCTTGATGCATTCTATGGCATTCACATGCTATTCTGAAGCATAGCTGGTACCTGGTCCCCCTCTTGTAAGGTACTAATCGTTCAAAGCCGAGGGTATCAGGAGGCACCACCTCCCTCATTGTGGCCAGGTTTGCTCCTCAAGAGCCTGATTGACGAAACTTGGAATTTGGGTCTCCCACATCCAAGTTATCAAGTTATTTTTTGTGTTTTTTTTTTTTGTGAAAGGAAAAGAATGTGATAATTGTAAATGTAAATGTCTTTATGTCTGTGATAGCAAGAAATTTGTAATAAAAGAAAAAATAAAGGTTTCTGTGATAAAGATAAATGCCAATTTTGTTAGAAGTAATCACATTGATAATGTTTTTTAATGAACTACCAAAGAAGTTTAATTTTGTATTAGGAAAAATAAATATTATTTTTGCCAATTATATATTTTTATTCACAAAACAACAGAATAGATATTGTAAGTTCTTACCATGCATATATATGTGTATGTATTAATTCCTTTGCAATTATATATTTCACAGTGCTTCTACAAATGCATTATATGTGACAGGAAAAATCAATGAATCATTTAATCTCTGAAGCAGTAGGAAAATTTACAAAATAATTTATAAAATCTACATAATCATTAATATTTCACATGTTTATTTATTAATCAATATAAGAAATCATAGAGTAAAAGCCAAAACACAAGTTGTAATTCAAGGCAAACAAAACATGAACCTCTAAACATCATATTAATAATTAAAAATATAGTCTTT